TCTTTTGGATGTTGGCAATCCTAACTGGTGTGAGGTGATATCTCATTGTGGTTTTAATTTGCATTTCTCTGAAGATTAGTGATGTGGAGCATCTTTTCATGTGCCTGTTGGCCATCTGAATTTCTTCTTTGGAGAAGTGTCTGTTCAGCTCCTCTGCCCATTTTTTAATTGGCTCATTTACTTTTTGTTTGTTGAGGTGCATGAGCTCTTTATATAATTTGGATGTCAACCCCTTATCAGATATGTCGTTTATGAATATATTCTCCCATACTGTAGGATGTCTTTTGTTCTACTGATGGTATCCTTTGCTGTACAGAAGCTTTTTAGTTTGATAGAGTCCCACTTGTTCATTTTTGCTTTTGTTTCCCTTGCCCTGGGAGATATGTTCATGAAGAAGTTGCTCATTTTATGTCCAAGAGATTTTTTCTAAGAGTTTTATGGTTTCATGACTTACATTCAGGTCTTTGCTCCATTTTGAGTTTACTTTTGTGTATGGGGTTAGACAATAATCCAGTTTCATTCTCTCACATGTAGCTGTCCAGTTTTGCCAGCACCATCTGTTGAAGAGACTATCATTTCCCCATTGTATGTGGGAATTATTGTATTATTGTATATTAATTGACCATATATGTTTGGGTTAATGTCTGGAGTCTCTATTCTGTTCCACTGGTCTGTGGCTCTGTTCTTGTGCCAGTACCAAGTTGTCTTGACTACTGTGGCTTTGTAGTAGAGCTTGAAGTCAGGTAGTGTAATTCCCCCTCCTTTATTCTTCCTCCTCAGGATTGCTTTGGCTATTCGGGGTCGTTTGTTGTTCCATATAAATTTTGGAACTATTTTCTCTAGTTCATTGAAGAATGCTCTATGTATTTTGATAGGGATTGCATAGAATCTGTAGATTGCTTTAGGCTGGATGACCATTTTGATAATATTAATTCTTCCTATCCAAGAGCATGGGATGAATTTCCATTTATTAGTGTCCTCTTTAATTTCTCTTAAGAGTGTCTTGTTGTTTTCGGGGTATAGGTCTTTCACTTCCTTGGTTAGGTTTATTCCTAGGTATTTTATTCTTTTTGATGAAATCGTGAATGGAATTGTTTTCCTGATTTCTCTTTCTGCTAGTTCATCATTAGTGTATAGGAATGCAGCAGATTTCTGTGTATTAATTTTGTATCCCGCAACTTTCCTGAATTCAGATATTAGATCTAGTAGTTTTGGAGTGGATTCTTTAGGGTTTTTTATGTACAATATCATGGCATCTGCAAACAGGGACAGTTTGACTTCTTCCTTGCCAATCTGGATGCCTTTTATTTCTTTGTGTTGTCTGATTGCTGTGGCTAGGGCCTGCAGAGACTCTCTTTTTATGTAGGTAAAAGATGGAACTAGACACATGGTTAGCCATCTTACTTTTTTAACTACGTTTTGGAGAGTTTTCCATATCAGTACATAAAACATTTCCTCTATTATTTTTAAGATTACATAGTGTTCTGTGGTATGGATGTCTTTTCTTTGTTTATGCAGTCACTTATCAATGAATATTTGTGTACTACCTAATCTTTTGGTATAATTGAATAACTTTGCACATACTTCATTTTCCAAATTTAGTAATCTCTCTTACAGATATAGTCTTAGGACTGGAATTACAGGGCCATAGGATATGTGAATATTAAATTTTGTTAGATATTTATGCCAGAATTTTACCTATTCATACTTCTACCAGCAGTATATCAGAGTGCTTGGAAGACTTTCTGAGTTTGTTAGTCTTAACTGCAGTAGACAGAGGTAACCAGTTGGTTTTAATTTTACAAAATTTGTCTAGGTTTGGGTAAATTATGCTCCAGTCACAGGTTCTCTACCTTGATGATAATTGGCCATGGCATTTTTGAGAGGCAGTTTGATCTCATGCATACCCAAGTCTGTAAAATAACAATATTATGATAGGCATCAATTGTGTTTTAAGAACACAAACCTTTGAAGGGTTTCATTACTTAATACATTTAGTTGGGAATTTAATGCAGACATGCATTTAATTGGGAAGTTATTGAAAACATTAATCATAGTATTTACAATTGTTTTGTTAAAACTAATTGTGAAGGGGTCATTATTCATTTGTTACATTAGTAGGACTGAATATAAAGATTCATTAATTGAAAAATATTTTTAAGTGATCCCCGTCACGGACTCTGTAGGGCCTGACCTCATTGGCAAATGTACTTTCTTTGGTGGAGGTCAGCCCTGATTTGCTCAGAGGCAGCTGCTTGTTTCTTGTCCTGCATGTCAGTGTGGTCTGACAGCAGTCCCCAGGTCCTGGTGAGTGATACCAATGTCACTTCAGTGTATCCTTGAGGTAGCCATGCAACCAGACTCCACTCTAGCTGCTGACTCCTGATAGCTCTACAGGTAATTGCATTTGCAGTCTGAGGACATCTGTTTCCAGTGATCCAGCCCAGTGCCCCTGAATCCTGAAATGCTTAAGCAGGTCACTGGGGGAGCAGCCAACTCGAAGGCATGGTCACTGGCTCCCAAGTCCTGAATTTCATACGAGAAACAGCATATAGTTCACTGGTCTGAAATGTTCCAGAAAAATATCTTCCCTGCTTCCCTGTGCCTCTCTATTCTATGATCACAAAAGAATTTTCTGATTTTTACTAGATGTAAGTGTTGGTGTTCCGAATTTGTTAGAGGACTGTTTTGGCCCATGTCTCTAAGGCAGAGAGACAACCGGCTGATATTGGGGTGGAAAAAATTCCTCATAGATGAATATTTTAATTGCATCCATTGCTCTCCCAGTGTAAGCTGCCAGTTGACTAGTTTACTCCAAACTGACAGTAGATCTATAGTACTCAAGTGTCTGATGTATTTTTTGTGTATTTTGAGAACCTTCTGTAAACACCTGGTTTAAAATATCACTCTGTGGTGTCAAGGTAACTCTCTTCTGTATTAGGGATTTCATTTCAATATAAAAGTTAATATATAATATTCTATAGGGTTTTAGAACTCTAAGGGAATTAAAATTAATTTTCATCCCCGATTCATTGAATTTAGCACCTCAATTTTCTAACCACACATTAGATTGCAGTTTCTGAATAAAATACAGGCCTGATTTATTACCCCCAGTGCTGATACTAGTTACTCTAATTGAGCAGCTTTTGTATTACTATCTGAAAAGAAATGTGTAAAGTGTTAAAATATTGTATTCTGGATAAAGTGTCCTTGACTTTTTAAGGGCTATAATTTAATCAGCAGCAGTAGTGGGGCCTCTCTGCAGAGGACTAGTTAGGAAAGGGGATAGGGAAATGAAGCTGTTGCCAGGACCTTGAAAAGCTAAGCATTTCACAAAATAGGTTTCATAATTAGGTTAGTTATTACATCTGAAAAGGGCAGCCTTCTCTAACTATCTAGCCACTTGATGACTTTTATTTCAAATTGATGCCTGAGACTTCCTTGATTTAAAAAAATCACCAGAAGGGAAAAAAGAGGTAAGATACTTACCTTTTCATAAAAGGTAGGAAGTAGCATTTCAAGGGACATTTTTCCTGTCTCCAGGCTGTTAGTGAAGACAAATTTCTTTTAAAGTCTGGTTCTGATGTAAAAGGGATGATTACATTTTAACCAGCAGCCTGACATGTTACTGGCCACTTTAGAGGTAGAATCTGTTATTCAAATATATTGTTTCTTTTTAGTTGTTTTTGACCCTTACATTACTAATTTTAATAAAAGACAAAATATTTTTTGCCAGTTACCTAGGCAGTAATACCATAGCAGTGCTAGTTAAACAACTGCTTAATCTTATTTAATGTGAACTCATGTATTTTGGAACTTGATGTCAACAAGTGTTTTTCTTTTCTTTAATGAACTTTAAAGATATCCCTTACATTGCCTCTTTGGACCATTTTAGATTGTGGTAAATAGAACTGGTGCAGAGGTAACCCATCGAGAAAATGGAAGTTCCACGGCCAGGGTTCTCACCTGGTCCTGGTCTACTTGCCCAGTGTGCACGTGCAGTGCTCGCAGGTGCAAGCTTGCACACGTGTGGGCCGTGAGTTATTACTGACTATATAAAGAGCTCTGCCCAGTGTTGCGGGGTGGCCCAGAGTCAGAGATGGGCTTGCTACATGCAGACTGGCCTGGAAGCAGATGGGGTTCTAGTGCTTGACCTGCCGCCAGGAGAATAAAGCTGGGTATAAGCCCTTTTACCCCCAAAATTTTCAGTAATCATTTTTCTGTCTCACTGAATTCAGAGTGAACTTGCCCACAGCTGAAATTGTCAGCCTTCCCTATGCCCTTCATTATTTTTATGAATCTAATAATACATAGTACATTCATTAAAATTTCGTTCTCAGTATAGTACTTTATCTTCCTCACTTTGTGATCCTCCCACCCACCAAACTGCTAGCTATTTGTCTCCTTTCTTCAGGTTCTCTCAGTTTTGGTTTTGTCTGTGTGAGACAAGGGGATATACAGTCAATGAATATTGAAGGAAAGATCTGATTCTCTTTTATGCCATGATGTGTTTATGGTAATGCTACTCTATTATTTAGAATAGTATGAAGTATCTTTATTCAAATAATTTTTAGTGCCTAGTTAAGACTGAGGACTTACTGTGCGTCCTAAATCAATTTCCCTGTATATCACACTTGAGAACAGATAATTATGTAAACGTTTTCTGTATGTGGTTTGAATCTACTAGTGCATTAGCCAACGATTTGTTTTTATTGACTCTTTCTAGAGGTCCACATAGAACAGGCTTATGTGTCAGTTTCCTTCTTTCTCAAGTCCTGATTTTATATCCCTGCTCTTTTTCAGGCCTAAATTTACCTGTCATTGCCTTTACAATTTAATAGCTTTTTGAAGAGACAGTAGGGAATTTAGCATTAAGAATGGAATGAGCATTTGACCCTAACTCCTCAAAGTCACTCGTAAGGCAAGTGCATGGAAAGCAAATGCAGGTGCCCGTCACTGGCCGCTAATGTTACCATCTTCCCTTTCTGTTTTCACTTTAGGACCTGGTCAGTGCCACAGAGGCAAAGGAAGCTCTTGAAAGGGAGGTTAAGCTCTTCCAGGAAAGGCTGCTTGCTGGCCAGCGGGTCTGGGACGCCTCGAAGCAGGAGCTGAGCCTCTTGAAGCAAAGCTCTTGTGAGTTGGAGAAGAATGCGAAGGCTAGTTTGGATGCAGCCACAGCCTCACAAAGCCAGTACTCCTCATTCAGGGAGAAAATTGTAGCCCTTCTTAGGGGCAGCTTGAGCATGACTGGGTCCATGGAGGACGCCATTTTGGAGAGGATTCGAGAAATGGGCAGCCAGGAAGAGAGCAGGGAAAGGGTAAGTGGCTGCTTATAAGCTTCTTAAGGACAGTAAACTCATTCATTTAGCCTATGCAATAAATGAGTTAATTAAAAGTGTCATTCAAATGTGGTTTTTATTACTTTCAATTATATGTCGTCCTAATGCCACAGGTTAGTATGGGAGTCACTCAGGTTGCAGCTGACTGTGATGCAGGTGCTGGGGTCCGAGCTACCTGTGCTGAATCCTGTCTCTACCACACACTCCCTCCCTCCAGGTGTGACCTTGGGCAGTTTCCTGAGATAACAGCCTCTGAGATTTTGTTTCCTCAGCTTCTGTACAGGGACAGCCCAGGGGCCACAGCCCTTATCTGAAACCCTTAGGGTCTGATATGTGCAAATTCAGGGTTTTTCAGGGTTTGGAAAGATCAAAGAGTACACAGAAAGGTAACAGGGAAAGCAGTGTTACCCATTCCTCCTCAGTAGACGGCATCCGTAATCTACAGCAAAATCTGTGTCAGCTCCACCACGTGGGACACCAAGACAATGGATAGCGTCCATCACTTCAGGTCGGGGTTTCCTGCCAAATCCAGTCAGGTCAACTTTAGCAGCAAAAGAGTTATGAAAAAACTGTCTAGTGTCAGATCCTTTTGGATTTTGGAATTGCAGATAAGGGTTGCTAGATAAATAACAGTATCTGCCTCCTAAGGTTATTGCTTGCTGAATGCATTAAATGAAAAAGAAAGGGTTATGAAGTCCTTACCACGCTATCTGCAAATAGCAATGACAAATATTAACTGCAGCTGCTCATGCTTCTCCTCCTCCCTCCTTTTCATAATGTGTTGACATCTAGAGCAATCTTCTAGGGGACCTTTGTTTCTTTATCATCACATATCATTTTCTAATTGAAGGATGATTGACATAATATTAGTTTTAGCTGTATAACATAGTGATCTGACATTATATACATTAAAAAAGTGCTCACCCAGGTAAGTGTAGTTACCATTTGTCAACACACAAAGTTATTACAATATTATTGGCTATATTCCCAATGCTGTGCTTTTCATCCCCTTGACCTGGCAATTTTATAACTGGAAGCCTATACCTTCCAGTCCCCTTAGGGGACCTATTTAACAAGTGGAGAAAAATGGTTTAATTTACAAGAATAACTGAAGCTTGTTTAATTTGTTTTGTTTATACTATTAATAATTCTCATTTTTCAGAATGGCTAGTATCAAAGTGATAAGAAATAACAAGTGTTGGTGAGGATGTGGAGAAAAAGGGACCCTCCTGCACTGTTGATGGGAGTGTAAATTGGTTCAGCCACTATGGAAAACAGTATGGAGGTTTCTCAAAAAATTAAAAATAGAACTGTGATACAATCCAGTAATTCCACTTCTGGACATTTACCCAAAGAAAACAAAAACACTAATTTAAAAGGCATATGCACCCCTAAGTTTATTAAAGCATCAGTTACAATAGCCAAGATATGGAAGCACCCCATGTGTCTGTTGATAGATGAATAGGTTAAAGAGATGTGGTACATATACACAATGGACTATTACTCAGCCATAAAAAGAACAAAATCTTGCCATTTGCAACAACATGCATGGATCTAGAGGGTATTATGCTAAGAGAAAAAAGTCAGAGGAAGACAAATACCATATGGTTTCCCTTATATGTGAAATCTAAGAAAAACAAAACAGAACAATAAGTGAACAACAACAAAAAGTCCAGAAACAGACTCATAAATACAGAGAACAAACTGGTGGTTGCCAGAGGGGAGGGGAGCTGGGGAATAGATGAAATAGGTGAAGGGGATTAAGAAATACAAACTTGAAGTTATAGAGTAAATAAGTCGTAGGGATGAAAAGTACAGCATTGAGAATATAGTAAATAATATTGTGGTAAATTCTTTCTATAAAAAATTGACTCTTTAGTTAGCAGAGTCAGCTTTAGCCCATCTCTATTTAAATTATCATCAAACCCAAATTATTGAAGTCCTAATTAATGAAGTTTTAAAGCAAATAATATCCAAATTCTGTCTACAATCCCATTATGACCTATTTCTTCTATTGAATTCATGCTTATTCACAGGTGAAAATGCACTTCTCCATCTCTTAATGTTCCTAAAATACTCAGCGATCACTAACTCAGGGTTCAGGGTTGCATTTGTAAACTTCCTTTAATGACAAAACCCTTAAAATTCCCTTTAGAAATTCTCCAAAATTCATGTGTGCTCTAGGAGCAACCCAAGTTACTCCTGTATCCAAGCGCAGGATTTTCTTTGTGGATAGAAAATGTTCATCCCTGGAACCTGAGTGTGACTTCAGTTTTGCCTGTGATTGGCACTGGATTGGGGAAGAAAATTATTTATAGGGCTGAGAAAAACTTCATTAAGTTATTTACCTTGAGGAGTAACAGATGTAGTTCAATAGCTAATGGTTCTTTTTCATTTCATTGCTTCCCTCATCTGTTTTTCCAAATGTGTTCCTAAAAGCATCTTTATTCCAGCATGTGAAAGATGGCATAAAATTGTCAGCATGGTGTATATGTTTATTTTCTAAAGCAAAACGATGTAAATTGGTTAAGCTGGCTATGCCTTCCCCTAGTCCCCATAAAAATTAGAATGATTCAGAGTCTTTTTAGTGTCTTTGTCTTTCCTACCCTGTAATTTTTTTCTCAATAGCTGCACTCACTGTTTAAAAGCCTGAAATCAAGCATATAGCTGGCATCTTGCGTGACTCATCTTCAAGTAAAATCAGGAGAAAATGGATTTCATATATTGTCTTGGAAATGTTTCTGAAGAATGAGAGCTTTACAAATTGATGAATCTGTTTGTTGAGGAGGCTGCATCTCCCTGCCAGCTGCCGTGGCTAAGCGCACAGTCAACAGTTGAGTCATACTCGAGTGAAGACCCAGTGATGGGTTCAGGCTGGGCCTGGCAAATTCTCCACTTCATGCCGTCTCCTGCTTACTGAGCACTGCTTTTCGCATTTACCCCTTTGCTATTTGTGTTTAGTCTCCTGTATCTGCAGTTCTCTGCAAAATTCAGGACACCACCCATCCTTTTGCAGTAAGTCATTTCTACTTATTCCTTGCTTTTCTGCTTATAGCAAAATCTAATTTTCTTTTTAAAAGCAATACTCTATCTTAGAGCAGGGTTTTTCAGCCTTGGTAGTATTGACATTTTGGGCCAGATAATCCATTGTTGTGGGGGCCATTGTGTACAGTAACAGTAGGATATTTAGCAGCATTTCTGGCTTCTGCCCATTAGATACCAACAGCATCTCTTCCCTCCAACCCCCCCAATTTTGTGACAACCAAAGATGTCTCTAGACATTGCCTAATGTCCTTGAGGGGTGAAATCACCCCCATTTGAAAACCACTCTCTTAGAGCAATGTTCTACTCTCGGGTTCCCAAGAATTCTAAATGTGTACTTAGATTACTTAGATGTTATTTAGCCTTGAAATTTCAGGACACTTGAAACAAGTGTTTTTGCAATAATGATTTCTTGCACAATGACAGAAAGTTGTGGCATTTTCAGATTTTCATTTAGGGTTTTGATGCAAAATTTTTTTCTTTTAGATGTTTCCTCACTGGCTAATGATTTGGATGAGAATTGATTATGTACAGGGAGTACATGATCATGAATGATTTCAATGTCATTTCCCAAATTAAAGACAAATTAATACAAGCTCACAGACATTTATCTAGACAGCTCTTTTGTTCTTAGGCACACATAAGGCTTTATTTCCTCCACTGGAGTGCTGCTTAGCCCGGTGGCTCTGGGTGCTGAGGCGACCCAGCCTGATGCCCCGGAGGACCTGAGATGCACTCCACAACTCCCCTTCCTCTTTTTGCTCTAATCTTAGTCCTCCAGTGTACTACACTGAACGTGTGCCTAGAAGCTTCAGCAGACTTGCACTGACATTTGACTGTCCAAAATTATGTCACATGGTCATCTCTGCAACAAGGGCATCTGCGAGAGTGAACAGAGATTTTAGCTCTCTCAGCCAGCAAAGTGTGTTCATTTGCTAGGAGAGCTACTAACAAAGTACCACTAACTGGGGGGCTTAAACAACAGAAATGTCCTGTCTCACAGTTCTGGAGGCTAGAAGTCCCAAATCAAGGTGTTAGCAGGGTTAGTTTCTTCCAGGGACTGTGAGGGAGAATGTGTTCCATGCCTCTCGCCTAGCTTCTGGTGGCCCGAGGTGTTCCTTGGCTTATGGATGGTATTCTCTGAGTCTTTACATCATTTTTCCTTCTACTTTGAGGTGTCTATGTGTCCAAATTCCCCCTTTTTAAAAGGACACCAGTCATATTGGATTAGGGCCCACCCTAATGACCTCATTTTGACTTGATTATCTCTGTAAAGACTATTTCCAGCAGGGTTGCATTTGGAGGTACTGGGGGACTTCAGCTTATCTCTTTTTTGTGGGGGCGGGAGGGAACCCAATTCAAAACATAACAAAAGCTGACATGCACAAAGGTGGAGCAGGGTAGGGTTAGCCAGTCAATACTGTTGGACACACATATTGACAAGAAGGAAGGAAGATTTGATTGATGTTATTATATTCCTGGTTCCTGACAACTTATTTTATGTATTTCCTAGGTGGAAATGATAGCTCAAGTAATCAGAAAAGAGTTGTTTATGTCCAAGAGGCACTGGTCCTTAAGTGACCCAAGTGGCTTTTTCTTCACTTTAGAGCTCTTGCTCTTCCATTTGGCTTAATCTTAGGGCAAAATTACCTCTCTAGTGAAACCACCTAGTACTTGTCCTGGGGAAGTAGAGAATTCTTCTGGGGCATTATGACTTCCTTTGCAAAATTCAAGCTGTTGGCTCTTGAAGTGTAGTGTGCTTTAGTGCCTTTTCTGTTTTAAAAAAAAATGAGGTATGTATTCTTTATTAACCCTCGCCCCTCCCACAGTCCCAATATCTCTAGCATTGACATTCCTGGCTTGTTTTGTTCCACACATTATCAGGGATATGTTAACAGATGATACTAAGAAAAAAAGAAGGGCTTATTGATTCTTTAGTTTCCTTGGTATGAAAAATGTAACACAACTTCACAGTTGGGCAGGATGCATATGTTCACCCAGTCACTGGCATTTAATGTTCCTGAGAAGAGAGTCATATTGGAATGTTTATTTATTTGAATATATTTATGTAAACTTAGCTCTTAAAATTTGGTGGTAGCATATGCTCTGAGACCTAAAGAAGCTTATGAAGCTAAGTTCTGTGACATATAAACTATACGGAGGTTCTCAGCTGCGTGCTCTTCTCTGGAAACTAGAATCTTGGCAGGGCAGTGTTTGATTCTGCATTGTTCAGCCATCTACAAACTGTGTTTTAAAAGTTATTCTCCGCTGAGTCTTCAAGTTCCATAGAACACTCTTGGGTCCACACAGGATGCAGGAGGGACCACTCACCTTTGATGCAACACATTTGTTCCTTATGTGTCCTTTCCAGAAAGACTTCTTGTTGAAAAGCAGCCTCTATGGGCTGAAAATAGTTTGAGAAACATGATGTAGGACAATTGCTGCAGGGCTCCTTTACCTCTTGATGCCAAAAGCATAGGATTGACTTGACTGAACCAACAAACTAGAATAGTAATGCTGCTGCTGATAAAAATAGATGCAGTGAATTGAACTTCAATTGGGTTCACACCAATTGTGCTACTCAAATGATCTCAGTTAGCCAGCCCATCTGATCATCATGACAAGTCTATACGTTTCAGAGAGGTTAACCGCTTGCTTCGGTGAACATGGTGGTACATGGTAGAGTGGGAATTGAACCGTATCCAGTGTCCCTGTCCCACAGTTTGGTCTACACCAGGGCGCCTGCTTCTTCCTTCAGGTGCTCCCTTAGTCTAGCTTCCTGCGACTGCTCCTTATACCTGCTTCAAAATGAAGTCTTCTACCGAGGTCTGTGGAGGATTCTGCGTTCCCCTGCTTAGGTGGGCGGCGTGTAGACTGTGGTTGTGGTCGCTCATTTCTCCATCTCCCAGTGGAGGTTTTCTATGTCTCTTTGGTTTCATTCTCTTCAGGTCAACTCTGAGGTGGGAGAAGTGTCGAAGGATCTCCAGGGAGAGGGACTTACTTCCTACTTGGAGTCACATGTGAAACCACATTTCCCACCGCACAGAAACGCACGCCTTACCTTGTATAATATAATATCATTAAACAGCCCCCAGCAGGCAGTGTCTTGGGGATGTCACTTCATGGCTGCCGTTCTGTGGGTTCCTTTGTGTGCTGTACCAAGACAAGCACACCTTTCTCTTGCACTGAAATCAGATCTATTATTAGTTCATAAGTACTGAGGGTAGAAAATACAAATGAGGGTTCTCAGAGCCTAATAGTATGGAATGAAATTTCCTTGGGGAATATAATTCCTTGCATGTGGCACTGAGCAGTTTGCCATCGAATATTTGATTTCAAGCACCCACAAAAGTATAGAATTAAATAAATTGTGGGCCTGGGACCTTTAGAGCCATAGAAGCACAGGATTAGAGAGTTTAGAGATTCAGTAGTCTTAATATTCCTGATCGTAGCACTTCAGTTCACCCTATGACCTTTTTAACAAATGGTTGGCCAACTTCAGGCCATCTCCAGACACTGGCTATCCACTACTTGGCATGGGAAGATGCTTAAGATATGAGGTAAAAATGAAGACATAAAATCGCAAATATAGTATCATCTCAACTGTTTTTTACCAAGGCATAAAAAGAAATTATTTGAAAATATTAATAGTTGTTGCTTCTGGGTTGTGGAATCATAGAGGTTATTTACTTGCTTATTTATACTTTTGTTCTTAATGAATCTTTTACAATGAACATTAATACTTTGTAATATGTATTATTACAAAGGGAAATATTATATGGTACGATTATAGGGAAATATATATTACATATAAAATAATCTCTATTATTACAAAGGGAACAGGGAAAAATTCTTACATTGTAGTAGAATTCTTTCTCTGGTTTTTCCCTGTTTTTCCCTCACTGCAGCTCTGAGGGCAACTCTGAACAAATTCTATTGTTCTTCCATATATCACATGAACAGTCTTAAAAGTATTTGAAGACAGCTTGAATGTCTTATTGCTTTTAAGTATGGTTTTTTATAGATCAGCAAACAAATTTTTTGAAAACTAAGACTATAAATCTGAAACTCAAGAGATTTCAATTTTTGTGAGAATGGTACTGAGTATTATGTAAATATCTACTTTTTTCCTTTCCATTTCCAAAACGATCCATCAAAAGAAAACCAAGTTATCACCTCAAACTCTGTGTCTTTTATTTATTTTTTAAAATTGAATTCAACATTTGTTGAAAACTTCATTTGGTAGAATCAATTTGAATATTCTCAAAGTGTGCCTGAGATCTTTGGTAAACTTAGGTTCTTGGTTTTAGGGAAAGTCAAGGACAAAGAGAAACTCCAGGGAAAGATGGAAGTACTGGGTAAGCCAGGGCGGGATATGAAGAGTCCTTGCACCTTTAATGGAGAAGCACTGATTTTATGCTGTAGAAGAGGAGATAGACTCAGATTCTCAGGCCTTCTTGTATGTTGCCATTGAAGGAGTCACCCTATTGAAATAATTTTGCTAAATGATTCTTTCAAATGTGGAGATAATATTACCATGTAACTATGCAGCACAGAGAGTGCCACTAAAGTTTAGTGCATGACTAGCCAATACTCAACAGAATATTCAGAAAAAGCTTGAAAAAATATTATGCACTTGAATTCCTGATAATGTCCCAAGGTTACACTCTGTATAATCTTTAATCCACTATATATGGCAGAAGAGTTTCTCTGGAAAATGAAACTTTTATAGATTTGAAAAATACTTTCTGTATGAACTCTTTTTCCAACTAAGTTTTGAACCTTCTAAGCTAATGGCAGTTTTAGGGGTAAGTAAATATTATCCATAAATACTGAGCAACCTGTTTAAGGAATTTCGTAAATATTAAAAATATCAATAAAAATACAGGCATACCACTTGTGTTACTGTGTTTCACAGATACCGTGTTTTTTTTTACAAATTGAAGGTTTGTGGTAACCCTGGGGCGAGCAAGTCTATTGGTGCCATTTTTCCAACATATTTGCTCACTTTGTGTCTCTGTGTCACATTTTGGCAATTTTAGCAATATTTCAAACTTCCAAATGATTATTATATTTGTGATCTGTGATCAGTGAGTATAGCTTGCTGGAAGCTCATGTGATGGTTACCATTTTTTAGCAAGAAGTTTTTTTTTTTTTCAGTTTACTTTGAATTTATTATACCTATTTATGTTTAAGTTGAGATAGAAGCATTCAATTACAGAAGTCATATGTGATGACTGGAAATGTTTACATGATACAGAGATGAATAAGGTTGAACATGAAATTACAGCATATTATGTCCTAGAGTAATTACTGTATATAGTTTGCTATATATTCTGCCAGGTTTTTTGATATGCATATACTGACATTGCTTTTATTGTTAGTATTAGAAACATCCATAGTGTTGACAATGAAATATTTTAAAATTATGGTATATACATTGTTTTTTAGATATAATGCTATTGTGTACTTAATAGATTGCAGCATAGTGTAAACATAGTTTTTATATGCCCTGGAAAACCACAAAATTTAACATGCTTTGTGATATTCCCTTTATTGTGGTCTAGAATCAAATCATCAATATCTACAAGCTATGCCTATATTTTATTAGACAATGAAGGTAGATTTATTTCAAGCAGAGGCACATACAGTTGTCAGTTACCTGTTTTTCACTTAGTTTTTACAAAGAACCTGGAAGTTGGTCTTATAAATAGTTAGGTTGCTTGGGCTGAGCACTAGATTTTAACACTTGAGTTGCATCTAAAACAAGGCTTATCCTTGTTCTGTTTCTTTGTTTCCAGATGATCTCCCAGCTTGAAACCCAAATATCTGAGCTTGTTGAACAGTTGGGAAATGAGTCTGGGTTCCACCAGAAAGCTCTGCAGAGAGCCCAGAGAGCAGAACACAAGTTGGAGACTCTCCAGGGTCAGCTGACACACCTGGAGGGGGAGCTGGTTTCTGGAGATGTTTTGCGAGACAACTTGCATTTTGAGAAACAAAAAGTAATAACCCGAGGGCATGTCCATGGGTGGAAACATCTGTTGCAGCGTAAAACTGTACCTGAATATATTCTGAATTTTATGGTACTTTGGGAGATTGGTTAAGTTCTGAGTCATGAGTAAATGCCAAGGAACAATGGATATTTTTTGGAGTGTCTTCCTATTGTTTGGAACTTCCTTGATTCAAATTAATCCAATTCAATTCAGTTAAACTCAACATCTATTATATAGGAGACCCTGGAGGGTTGGGGGCTAAGGTATAAATAACACACAGTTCTTGGTCTTCAAAGGCTGGTAGTTGAAAAGAAGAGAAGGCATTCAAATAATCTGCTGTACATGAGGCTGTATGTGTTGTAAGAGATGTGTGGATTACTAAAGTGCAATGGGATCCAATGAAAGGAATGATAACTTCTAGATAAGGGGAGGATTTTACCAAGGAGAAGATAATTAAGTTCATCTTTGAAAGGCAGGTAGGCATTTAGTGGAGAGAAGGTGTAGAAACGATAGGGGAAACGGGGTAAGGCATGCAAGCTTGTAAGGGACCGTGTGTTCAGTGAATGCAGAGTGGTTATTCTCATACAGAGGAACATGGCACTCTTGTTGGGGCTATAGCAGGAGAGGAGACTGGAATGGCTTAGATTATGAAGATTGGGTATTCTTTTTTGCATAGAATATGAAGTAAAATATGTGATTTTGAGCATCACAGTATCTAGAAAGATCATGTGATGGCCCTGTGGAGCTGAGATTGCAGGATGGAAAGACTCAGAAATGACAGTGGTGATAACCCAGGAGGACATCAGGACAGCAGGAGAGCAGGAGGAGAGAAGGGGTGCTCGCTGGTTCAGCCATGGGAAGGTCACCCGTGACCTCCGAGAGGCAGGTCAGTAGAGTGGCATAGAACAGAAGCCAGTTTGCCGTGGGCTGAGGGGTCACAAGAAAGGGATGGCGACAGATGTAGAAGTAGATTACTACAGAGTCTGGTGACCACAGAGAATTGAGGCGTGAAGCAGAAGGGTCCAAGCTTTTATTGGACAGAATGGGAGGGTACCTACCTGACAGTTGCAGGCATCTGTAGGGAAAGCAAAAGAGAGAAAAACGGGATCAAGCATAGGTGTGGAATTGGGCATGAAAAAATACTGTTAGGTTAAAAAAATCTGTGCTCTGGAAACTCATTCATTTTCATTCTCTGTACTTAAAATAATTGAGGATGCATTGTGCTTGCAATGAGGGTGGCTGTGCAAACATGCATAGAGGTGTCTGTGGGAAGTTCTAACCTGGTGGGTGAGACAGGCAAATCAGGACACATTTGGTACAATTAGTGCTATAGTAGAGACAGGTACAAAATTCAACAGGAGCTCAGATAAAGTAGTAATTACATCCTTTCTATTTCTGTGTGTAAGAAAATAAGCCATTTTCAAACAAGAGGTGACATTTGTGAGGGGCTTAAAAGAATGAGAAGGAATTTGTCAGGCAGAAGAGGTGGGGAAGGGATTCAAGGTAGAGGGAACAGCAGGAGGGCAAAGGAATGGAGGTGTGACAGAGCTGCACAGGAGAACAGTGTGGCTGGAATGGGGTGCTTGGTGGGGCCGGAGGTGTGAGGTGGCTCTAGAGGCAGGCAGGAATAACACATGGGACAGCCTGGTTACTCGAGGCTTTATCCTATAGCTAATGGGAAATTGTAGAAGGTTTTTGAGTAAAAGAAAGATTTCTCTGACCCATAGACTGACTTTAGAGAATAAAGGTAGGTAATCCAGTTGGGGGGAGTCTTAGAATAGTGATCAGAAGATAATAAGGGCTGGGAACAAGAAGTGCTTTTATGAATGAAGGCGTAGACTGCAGCAATTTGATAGGGTGAAGGGAATTTTTCCATCAGATATCTGAAAAAGGTGTGTTGGTTGAAATTCTGGGTTTGAAAGGAAGTACTGCACCTAAGGATAATATGTTAAATTAGAAGAAATCTAACTCTTCTCAAATTTCCCCTCTCCTGCCTCATCATGACCTGCTTTCTTCTAGTTGCCTAAGCCCCAAAGCCCTAAAGTCATCCTCAGTGCCTTCCTCTTCTAATCCATTCCTAGGCACTGAAAATTCTGTCTCCTTAATGCACCTCAAATATCCTCCCTCCTGCATCTCTATATTTAGTAGCAGTGCTTTGATTCAGAACATTATGCTAATTTGCATGAACTATTGAAACAGCCTTCTAACCCATCTAACCAATCATTTCCCCACTGCTGCCAGGGAGGGCTTAATAAAATGCATTTCATCTTATCTTTCTCCATGTTAAAACTAGTCAGGGGCCCTCAGGATCAGCTACAGATTGCTTCTTCCCATGGCTGAGCATTCCGTGACCTGGCCAGTTCCCCTCTCCAGGCTCCCCCTCACCTGCAATCTTCCAGCCAACAGAGGCCTGCTGGCACCAGCAAGGCTCCTGGTAGGGTCTGCTATGAGTGGTTGCTGAGCCCAAAGACATCAGCATTTCAGTTTGTAAAAACCAGTGGCCTAGCCAAAGAAAAGAGGCACCCTTGCTATCCCACATTGCCATTCTCTCTGAGAAAATGTTCTCCTTATCTTCTTCACCTGGTAATAACTGCCCCTCAAGACTTACTTAGCCCCAACATCAATTCCCCTGGAAATCTTCCCAAGGGACTTACCTCTCCCTCATGAGCCTGTGCCCTGTGTCTGTCACAGCACTTCTCACCCTGGTGGTATTCATTTTAAAATTTGTCTTCTCCAATCAATTCCAAGCTTCTGAGGCCAGGGAAATTTTTTTCTGGGTTTCTCCAGGGCGTAGGGAAGAGTCAGTAAATATTATTTACTTTATAGAGAGAACATATTAAAGGCAAGAATTTTAGGTAGAGTGGATCTCTTCTCTTCCTGCATCATAATGACTTGCTCATTTGAATTGAGATTATGCCAAAACAACTCTCAGTTATGAAAGCAAATTATGTAAAATGATACTGTCTGGTGAGTTTCCCAGAGATAACTGCTCATGACATGCATGTCCTAGTAAGGATGGCAGTCACGTACCTTTGAAAAGCAAAGTTGTACAGAGTTTAAGTTTGAATACAGGTAATGGAGGTTTACACAAAGTGGAATGGAATGTATTCATGCTAAACTGTGATTCAAATGACAAAATACACAGTAATCCTCCCAGCAGCCCTAACTCTTGGAGGCATAGCCAGGGCGGTTGAAATAGGCACATCCTCTGTGGCGCCTTGGCTGCGTCCTGTTTGAGTCCCTTTTTGCCTGTTGTAACTGTTGCCTGCTAAGTGGATGGGTCATATACAGAAATAATACAAGAGGCGTTTATGTCTTTACATGAGAGGTCCCAACTCTACTGAGAATAAAAGCAATATTAGTTACTTCACTTTTCATTCCCACCAGTTGGGGATGAGAACCAGGGGAGGGCTGATATGCATCACAAAGTGACAAAGTGAACATGCAGAGACACGCGCAGCCTGAGGGGTTCTTTGCAGCACATTACACTAAGCGGTATTTGTAAGGACTGTGACTTATAAAGAAGAGATTAAATTTTGTGTAGGCTACTTAACAAAATTGGAAATACCTACAAATAATTTCATTCTGATGACTCAGCTATAGATAGCTCTGGGCTTTCAGCTGGCATGCTTCGGTCACAGGAAGTTATATTTATTTAAACATAATTGCCTGAAAATGCCAGATGGATGAGTAGTTATTGCAATGACAGGAACATTTCAAAGACAGAACCCAAATCATGAAATAGTGATGTAGAGCTCATTGAGTGATTTACTCATCCAGCCAGTATTTAGCAAGCACTACTCTATGTCTGGCCTGGCCAGATAAACCACAGAAACCAGGTGGAGGAAGATGCTAGAAGAGTTTTATAACTTTAACTTATTAGAATATGACCCTTGACTTCCTGGATGTAACTATTTTTGAATGTTATTCTTGATAAATGTTGTTTAATGATAAATGAAAAGCCCTTGACACTTTCTAAAACATTTTAACTTAAAAAAAACAAAACATTGCCTGAGTTTGTTTGTATGGAGAACTTTGATTTTGGAGTGATTTATGGACCCAAGGAGAAAAAAGTGGCAACTGGTTAAGTTGTCATTTTGCACTTTTGGGACAAGTGCCCACTTAGGTGGGAAATGCTGCCATGAAAACTATGTGGATGAATGGATCTGGGGGGCCAGATCAACCTGGAAGGGGAGGGTGACAGCAGCATGCAGCCAAGCAGAGAGATGCAGATGTCATCAGGAGTGGGCCAGAGCTGTCATGGGTGGGGTTAAGCAGAGTGAACATGTCAGATTGAACATCAAGGTCACTGACCAGGAGAGTCCAGAGAATTTGGACAAGGAGCAGGACACGGAACAGGCAGGGTGATTGGGAATTCATCGCCGAACATGGGGCTCAGGCCCAGGCTGCATACTGGGTCCAATGAGAACTACCTTTTGAAGCTTAGTGAAAAAGGATTCTGTGAGATCACCTGTTAACTTTACTTTTGTGTTCTTGGGTTTCATTTTTCATTTTTGTTCTTGGGTTTAGTATCTTAAATTTCTGGATCAGCTCTCAGAGAAAATGAAATTGAACCAGATAGCTGCTGAACTTGGCTTTGATATGCGTCTAGATGTAGTTTTAGCTCGCACGGAGCAGCTAGTCCGCCTTGAGAGCAACGCAGTCATCGAAAACAAGACTATTGCCCACAATTTACAGAGAAAGGTACGGGATTTGAAAGTTTTTAATGTTGAAAGAAGGAATTCTTGAGAAACTTAAACATCAAAAAATAATCTACTCCCACTATACTTACTGGTGTGACTAGGAAACATATAAAGATATGCATTTAGAATTTGAGTCTCTCTTTCAAGTCTGAAGGGATGGTTAAGTGTATCACCTAAGGTTATATTTGAGAGTGAGCAACAGACCCAAAATAACAGTGGTTTAAACAAGGAGAAGTGTTTTTGTTTTTATTTTCCTTCACATAAATTTCTGAAATGTGGCAGCTTAGGGTGAGTGTAGCAGCTCTGTTTGTAAAGTCTAAGGAACCAGGCTCATTAATCTCCCGCCCCTGGGGTGGTCCTTAGCTTCATGATTCAGAAGGGTGCCTAGAGCCATTATAACTGTATTCCAGGTAGGAGGTTGGAGAAGAAAGGGATAAAGAAGAGCATGTGGGACCTATCTTTTAGGGAGGCTTCCAGAATCAGCTATGTGAACTTGTGTTTATATTCCACAGTTCTTTTGGGTAAATCTAGCTGCAAGGGAGGTTTGACACGGTAGCCTTTATTCTGGGTAGCCACTTGCCTGCCTAGTGAACCAATTCACTGTTTCTATTGCTTAGGGGGAAGAAGAGAACTGGAGAACACCCAGCAGTCTCTGCCTTCACAGGCTCTTGCACTGGAAAGGAGAGAGAAGAGCAGCTTACTTTTCACTCACTCAAAGAAAGAGTTAGAAACAGTTTAGACTAAATAAATGAATGAATTGATGAGAAGGATAAAAATATAATTACTAGTTAAATAATTATTGTCATTGGGGAAAAAAGAGGAAACACAGATGTGTTCTTATAATAGTTCTTAGGAGAAAGTTCTATGGTAGAATTATAGAGTGCAGGCTGTATAATGTCACATCTGGGTTCCCAGTTTAGCTCCACCAAGCTTTTTGACCTTGGGCAAATTACATACCTCTCTGTCTCTGTTTCCCCATGTTTAAGATGGGGATGATACCTACCCCATGAAGTTCTTAATTTTTTTTTTGAGAGGGCATCTCTCATATTTATTGATCAAATGATTGTTAACAACAATAAAATTCTGTACAGGGGACTCAATGCACAATCATTAATCAACCCCAAGCCCAACTCTCAACAGTCTCCAATCTTCTGAAGCATAATGAACAAGTTCTTAAACGGTGAACAAATTCTTACATAGTGAATAAGTTCTTACATGGTGAACAGTGCAAGGGCAGTCATCACAGAAACTTTCAGTTTTGATAACGCATCATGAACTATAAACAATCAGGTCAAATATGAATATTCATTTGATTTTTATACCTGATTTAANAAGTATTAATCCAAGCTAGACAAGGGCAACAAAACATCCACGGATGCAGAAGATTTCTCTCAAAACAGGGGGGGTGAGGTTCTGAGCCTCACCTCTGTTGATCCCTAATTTCTCACCTGATGGCCCCCCTGCGACTGTACCTGTCTTAGGTTGTTCCTCCCTTGAGGAATCTTACCCGTCTCTGGCTAACCAGTCATCTTCTGGGGTGAAGTTATTAATTTTTAATAAATAATATCTTTAAACTTTTCGCCCACAGAATATGCTTATTAACATTTGACCTCTTTTCCATTTGCCATATCATATTTTTATAAAAGAAAGCAGACAACTTCCATTGCCATCAGAGGCTTTAAATTGAGCTACAATTCTTTCTGAAGTTCTCAGATAATCGATTTTTCCCCTCAATATCCAATGCCATTCCTTCTTAGGTATTGTGTAGTTGTTAAAATTATTAGAGCACAGAACTTACCAGTGTAAGTTTGCAGTAGAGTGGAAGCTGACATATAAAAGCTCGAGGAAGGGAGTTCAGTTAGAGAAATATTAAAAGCACGTTGTTAAAAATGGACCTGAATGTGGACATTGCTGTTACAGTTAGACTTTGTTTCTCTAAGTCCCTCACACCTCCGAACTCTGCCAACACAGAATGTATAATTAGCAAAAGTAGGATGGTCTTCAGCTCCTATGTTCTATGATTCTATACAGTTCTGATTTCCAATGTTTGTAATAGATGAAAGAGGTTTCTGTACTTAATATTCCATTCACTAATTGTAACATGTGAAGCCCAGGAGGGTTTTTTCCCCCTTTTAGAGTCCATACTCTTTTCCTAAAAACACTAAAATTTCCTTCATCACGTTTGATTGTCAATGATAAGTGCTGTTTGAAGACCATAATCTCTGCTCAGTTTGTGGATGGGGTGGGCCAGGCATATAATAAAGACATCAGTGAACTAAAACTTTTTGAAATCCCTTCTGTTTCTAAGATTTTCACCAGATGAAGCTTTCTGAAAAGCCTCCTTGGTATTGCTTACTTTAAAAATACGTCACTCTTATGGTTGATGCCACTCAGTCTGGTTCTAAGGGATTGAAGTTAGTCATTCTAGGTTTTGGTACTAATTTGTACTGTATCTTATTTTGGAAAAGACCATTGCAAGTATAGTTGCCATGTGGTGTTGGTGAGGATTTTGTCTCCTTGTCTTATCATATATTTGGCTCTTGAGAAGCCCATTTTATTTTTTACTAAAGTATAGTTGATATACAATATTATACTGGTTTCAAGTATACAATACAGTGGTTCAGTAGTTGCCCATACTATTAAATCCTCACCCCAACTAGTGCAGTTACTATCTGTCAACACAGAAAGATATTACAGAATCATTGGCTATGTTCTCCATGCTGCACTTCCATCCCTGTGACCAGTTGAGAAGCCTATTTTAGCAGTTTAAAAGGTAATTTTACATTTTTATTATGATGCACATAATTTTGGCGAGAATCAGATGTTGCAAGCCCACTTCTCTGCACACTTTCTGTGGCTCTTTTGGGTCCTATTTTGCAGCTACAGAACTAAATTCTTGGAAAAAATGGGAATAAAGAAATGCAACCAGGAAAAGGAATCCAATAACCTTTTTTTTTTGATGGTTTACAAATTAGTCTTATTGAAGTATAAAGATCAGTGTTATCTGAGTAATTCATTTATATTTACTGACTGTTCAATTATTAATGTTTTTGAAAAAAATTCCTGTTTGTATCAAACCAGCTGAAGACTCAGAAAGAAAGACTGGAGAGCAAAGAATTGCACGTGAATCTCCTCCGGCAGAAGATAGCACAGCTGGGGGAGGAGAAGCAGGTGTGTGCGGCCTTGGCCGTGGAGCGGGATGAGGCCAGTCTCACCCTAAGGAAGTTACAGAAGAAGGTGGAGAGGCTGCAGAAGGAGCTGAGCGTGTGTCAAGAATCAAACACTGAGCTCAAAGCCAAGCTGGCTGATACCAATGAGCTTAAGGCAAGTGCTCAGACCCATTTCTTTGTTGCTTTTTGCAAGTTACAATTGAAGTTTCTGCAATAGACTGACAGACTTATAAGAGACACACCAGAAGAAAAAAAGATGGAAACTTTCTCTGGTTTTTCGAGAGTTGTGGGAAAAGTGCAAAAATTACACAAATCAACATATTAGGTCAATTTAGTGCCTTCCTTTCATACCTGAAATGGGCTGTTAGCTGCTGAGTGAAAAGTCAGAGAAGGGTGATGTTAAGTACAGAAAATTAGCACATTTCTTCAAAGTGTGGGTGCCTGTGATACTAGGGATCACGCCGGGCTATAAGGATTTGCTCAGGAGGAAATAAGAAGGGGAACACAGCTGTTCACAGATAAGAGCCAGGCAGCTGCAGTGTTGAGGCTGTGCCCTGTGACACGCACCACACCAACTAGCAAAGGGGGCACACAGATTGGGGCACTGTTTTCTGGATTTGAGGTGTTCAACTTCTAATGAATATAGAGAAAAAAGAAATTAAACTTAATTTAATAAAAACATTTAAATGTCATGTGTGCCACTGGCAATAATATGTAACTTCAGATATGCATGCCATGAATACAGACGAGCACTTTGTAGAAAAGCACTCTGAAATGGGTTTTGGAATGTTTCTAAGTCTGGAAACAGACCAGTAAGGAAAAGGAATCTGGAATTAAACAGCACTTAAATATGTGTAATGGGGAAAAAACAATATTTTAGGAAATATTTTCCACTTCATTTTCCCCTCTGAGTCCTGAAATCTTTTTGCTTAAGCCCTTCTAAGGTGAGGCTTTTAGAGAGGGGAGGGCAAACAGCCCAGGGGAGGGGACATGTTCAAATAGAAGGGAAGGAGGAAGAAAGGGAAAGCATAAGATGGGGTGCCATGGCTGGGGAGAACATATCAAGGGAATTATATTCAACACCCCAACCCCACACCTTGAGACTGACTTTAGGGTATGTGTGTGCTGAATTGTGGGTAGAGTCCCCAAAGTCAGCATCAGCTGCTCCCACTCTGGCAGGAAGGGACTGGAGGAGGTGCTGAGGAATGGAACTAGATTGCTCCTTGATTCCCTGTAGCCTGAAGTTCCATCCCTGTGGTGGATGTGGAAGACAGCCAGTGATGTTGCTGGACCGCTCAGTGTGGGAGCAGGTGGTGGGACCAAGTGACCCTGCGTCAGAGTCTCCAGAGCAGACACCCAAGCCACAATCCAATGGCAGTGACAGCCAAATCTTGAATTAGCTAAGGCCAATGACCAAGCCTTGCCTTTGATCAGTGAACCCTCACAAATTTCACCAGATCTCAGATACAGGAAGGTTTCAGTGAGAGTCTGAGGATAGGAATCCCCTCTCCTAACACTGCAAAGGTTTTCTTTTCCCAAATACCACCTCAGGAAGAAGGAAGGGAGAGAAGAATCCCTGAAAGATGGAGTGATGCAGGAACAAAACAATTTTAAACCAGAGGAAATATGGTTAATTACAAAATGCCATCTACTCTGACATTTTGGGATGGTGGCGGGAGTTGGTTTCTTCTTTCTGAAAGGTAATGTAGCTTATCCTAAAGTTAATGTGCTGGGACCTTGCATTAGCTGTTCCTGACCTGCAGGTTGTGTGGACTGTTCAGGTCCAGGCTGGAGACACATATCTCCCCCACTTCCTTGATTGTGGGGCCACAGGAGCGCTGCTTTATTAGAGAGAATAAAGGGTCCCTAAATACTTCCAAAGAAGCCAGAAAGGAAAAGTTAAAGACATGAAAACCAGTCGTGAGACATCTGATAGTGGGAGAATATCGTGGAGCTTAAAGGAAAGAAAAGGAACTTCAACACTATAGTCAAGGTATAAATAATATAGACCTTTGAAAATGAAATATAGGTTGGTTTTCTCTTTCATCAAAATTTCTCCTCTATTAGTTACTTTTTTTTCTACTTTGGTTTATTTTGCTATTTCTTTTCTATCTCCCTAAGATGTGCATCAGCTTATTCATTTTTAGTGTCCCTTCTTTTCTAATACATGTAGTTATGGCTGTGAATTTTCCTCTAAGTATTATTTCAGCTGCACCCCCAAAAGTTTTATATGTAGTAGATTGGTTGTCATTTAATTAAAAATAGTTTCTAATTTTCATTGTGATATTTTCCTTTGATACAGATTATTTAGAAGCACATTTCTAAACTTAAAAGTATTTGGAGGTTTTGTAGTGATATTTGTTTAAGTGATTTGAGGTTTAGGATGATTTTATCTTCCTTCAGAGAGGATTTTATTTCTTTTTTCCAGATTCCTGGGGACATTTTTACCTTGTAGCTCAGGGTCATCTTAATCCAAAATTAAGACTTGAGACATTTTGAGGTGACTCTGTGTTGACATGAAGTGAAGTTACACACTACATGAGTGAGGATTTTTTTCTATTTCCCTTCGTTGTCGGATACAGCCTTTCAGGGACCTCTTCTAAAGTAGGAGTGATTTGTCAAGTGTTCCATCAGTTGCAGGAACCAGGCTCTGACTCTTGAGACCCATCCCTGAAAAGCTGCCAAAATGCTCCTGAGCCTCTCAGCCACCCCTTCCAGATTACTACATGCTCCCATAGGACAGAGGACCTCAAAGTCTTTGTATACTTCTGAGTCCCTGGCTTCTTCCAGATGTTGGCCTAGTAGTTTCTGGCATCTTATAAGCTCTTTGAATTTTTAAGAAGTATTTTTTTCCTTGTTCCCTCTTATTATATTGAGTGAGAACATTAGTCTGGACTACCTAATCTCCCTTTTCCAAGGTGATAAGAGAAGGTGGTGTTTATTTAAATCTTAGCCACTACTGGAAAAGTGGCTACCTCTGTACCACGGCAGCAGTCTCTATTTTTTTCTGAGTGTGCACTCTACTTTATAGACCACAGTCTAATAGCAGAGGTGATAATGATGGAGCAAGGAATTTCCAATCTCTGATGCCCAGGATGAGAGCGAGTGAAGAGCAGTTTTAGAAATGGGTCAGTACCTAGTGGATGGCAGTGTGAGTGCCATTGGGAGTTTCGGTTTGAGGCAGGGTGCTTTCCAGGCTAGGTAGATTGAGAGTGGCAGTGGAACACCTGGCCAACAGCCCTGTGAACTAGGATGGAGTTGGGGTGCAAGTAGCCCACACTTTCTGTGGCAGGTAGCAGGTAGCAGAAGTAGGAAAACAGCTAGTGAAAAACAAGTCCCGTGTTTATATAATATGTTCCTGTTTGGGGTCTATGACTTCTGCCTTGGGTCATTTTTCACATGGATTATTATAATTATTTATAAGTGGTCTTTTTCACTTAACCTTTTCACAAGCAATCCTGATTTCTATAGTTAAGTTTTGTTCTTTGGGTGATGTGATTATGCAGCATGTGGTTCTAGTAATACTGTCTGGTTTGAGAATTTCCACTTCCTGCATCATCAGTGTAATGCAGTGTTTTTAAGTGTCAGGCACATACCTCTGGGAGTTCATAAGATGTTTCTGGGTGGCACATAACAATGATGTTCAATCCTGAAGTGAAAAATGAATTGCCTTTCATTTTTCTTTCAATTCTTTCACTATCAAGGAGAAAAATCTTTCAAGTTATTATGTTCTTTTACACCTCTAGAACACCCACTAGTCAACTTTTTGAACAAAGAATAAGACTTAAGCTCAGTGCTGAGTTCAAGCAATAGTACCTAGTTTTGTTTTCATTATAGAGTGTTTGTTTTATTGTTATCTTCCAGTCATGATAAGTTCTATTGAAATCATATAAAGTTCCCTTGAAAACAAATAAATTCATTCCAGTTAAAGAGATGGTTGATTTAAAGAAAAAAATGATTAATATAGGAGATATGTGGCTGTGGCAAAAATTGTGGAGTTGAAATGGGAATAATGGAAAGAGACAGATTGGAGATGAGAATGATAATAAATGATAATTAAATGCAATTAGCAGTTAAATAGAAGCTCTGATTGGTTGCTTCTGATACCATGATAATTTCTGGGAATTGGCTAGTGGTGGAGGAAGAAGCTGGGCAGAGAACAAGGGCCTGATCACACAGGGCCTCATGAGTTCCCCTAAGATGCTTGGACTTATCCTCTGAGTCCTGGGGAGCCATTGGAGAATTTCAAGCAGGAGAGTGAAATTATCAGGAAGGAGACTAAAAAGAAATGGAGAGATATGAGGGGAGCAGGGGACCTCCAGAATGAGGCTGTGATCAATAGTATCAAGTGCAGCAGTAAGATAAGGATGGGAGGGCTGTTCACTGCACTTGGCTTTAGAGCGTCTATGGCTGAAGCGTGTATGTAGTAGGTTGTGTTGGTAGTGGGTGAGGACTTTTAGAGTAGCCAAATTTCAGTAGGCTGCAGGATGAAGGAGAAGTGGAAACCAAAAAAGTGGCCTGCTTTTCTGGAATACTTGGATGAAAAGGGGAGGAGTGTTGGGAAAGTAAAGACAGCCTGAATGTTTACTTTGTTGTTTTATTTTGCATAAAGAGACCACACTTTTACTTAAAAGATAGAGGAAAGGTATAGGAGAGACTGGACTTGACTACTCAGAAATTACTCAGGCCCTTAAACATTTAAGTAGAACACTAAGTCTGCCTTCCAGTGGAGACTGGAGATCTAATTTACTGACACAGTACATGCCAATTCTATGAATCTATCAGAGATGTCAACCACAGAATAGCTTATTTTTTAATTTAAGACATATGATATTTGCATCCAAGATAGACTAGTAATACCAATTATCCATCTTTGACCAGGGCATGTATTAACTTTACTATTGATAAAGCAACATTTCTAGACATTAGAAAGAAGGCCTTTCTGTATTCATTTTCTAAGGCTGCTGTAACCAGTTACTACAACCTGGGTGGCTTAATCCCACAGAAAATTTTCTCTCTCTCTCACAATTCTGGAGGCCAGAAATCTGAAATCAAGGTGTTGACAGGGTTGATTTCTTCTGGAGGATCTGAGGGAGAATTTATTACATGTCCTAGCATCCTTGGCTGGCAGTTGTGGAATTCCAGTCTCTGCCTCCATCTTCATGTGACCTTCCCCTCTTGTGTGTGTCCTTTTCGCATCTTGTAAGGATACATTTGAGTTAGGGCCCACCCTAACCTGGGGTGATCTCATTATGAGAATCTTACTTACACCTGCAAAGATCACATTCTGAGGTTCTGGGTGGACGTGTCTTTGGTGAGGACATTATTCAATCCATTAAAATTAAGAATTAATTTCACCATTTATAGAAGATTGATATAATTTGGATTATATACTGACATCATAAAAAATTGAGATACAATTTACATGCAATAAAATTCACCCTTTTAAAGTGTACAAGGCATTGGTTTTTTAGTATGTTGACAATGTTATGCAGCTATCACACCACTCCATAATTCTAGAACATTTCTATTATCTGCATTACCCTCCCCCTGCCCCCAAAATCCCATACCTATCAGCATCACTTTCCATCCCACCTTTCCTTAACCTCTGGAAACCACTAATCTGTTTTCTGTTTCTATGGATTTGCCTAATCTGGACAATTCATATAAATGGAGTCATGTAATATGTGGCCTTTTACCTCTGTCTTCTTCCATTTGGCGTAATGTTTTCCAGGTTCATCTATGTTGTACTGTGTAT